TCTGTCCCCATCCTACAAGAACCAGGTTTCTCTAATAAATTGTCTCTCTCCCTTAGCCAGCAGCCAGTCGGTTTGGGCAGATGGCAGAGACTCTGGGAAGAGCTCGTGGGCTTTAGGAGACCCCAGAGGAGGGCCGGCTCTGACCCTGCTGCCTGGCTTCTTGCCTGCCTAGCGCTGAACCTCGGAGGTGGTGTGTGAAGCCTCCCAGGTCCAGCCCAGCTTCTGACACTGACAATCTTAGCAGCTTTGCGGGGAGCATCTTTAGTGTATGGTACCTGCATCTTGTCTGGTGTGGGTAGGGAGGGGTTGGAGAGGTAGTGGATAAGCTTCTAGACACTGCCCTCCCTGGAGACGGTTGCCGGGGGAGCCCAGAACAGTGAGGGGCTGAGTCACTGGCTTTTGAGGCCTGCACAGTCTTCCCAGGACTGTGCCTGCAGTGGAGGTGGAGGGGTGGCTTTTTTCATTGTGCGAGGTTGAGCCTGGACTGCTTGCTGTTGGGCAGAGTTCCTGGCTGGGGCCTACACTGGAAGGTGGCAGGGTCTCACATATTTATTTGTGCTGAAAAGAATTCATCCATGACTGCACACACCCCTGGGCACTGTGGGCCTTAGAGCAATGAGCTGCTTGTTGATCAGAGAAGGGTGGTGCTTCCCTTCTTGCAGGAGACAAACCTAAACCACAAATGTGCAAGGTGGGTGTGGGTGTGGGTATGGGTTGGGAACCCAACTTCATGGTGGAAGCACAGCCTGCATGGGACTGCAGGAGACACATAGATGGGAGACTGCAGAGGCCCAGGGGCATGCAGCACCCGAGAGGCATCTTGGGGAGGTGGGGCATGTTTAGGGGTTTTTATTCCCTTGGTCCTGTGTCCACTGTGGAAGCTGTGTCACCCAGTACTCAGGGTCTGCTGTCGGCAAGAGTGCCATTAGCCCTGGAGATCATCTGTCCCCTCAGAAGGTCACCTCAGGGCTGGTCTCTCCACAGCCTAGGGGGCAGAACCTGGTGAGGGTGAGGAGGAACTGCAGCCTGAGCAGAAAAGCCACACAGATTGGGGGGCAGGCCCAACTCCTCCCACAGCCTCAGGTGCCAGTCATCTGAGAGGAGGGGTGGTTGTCTGCCCCCTTGTGGTGTGGGGAGACACGCATGAACACACAGGATCAAGCCATATGGTCTGTGAGCAGGGCAGAGTGGGGTAGTGCATGAGCCCATCAGGTTCTAAGTTGGAAAAGGTGTTTGAATGAAGCTTTGGGGGGATGTGAGCTTTGTCAGTGTGTTGGGAAGGGGATCGGGGCAAAGTGTCTTCCAGGGCAGGGGTCCTGGGGTGGTCACTTGGCACCCGTAAGGAACATTGAGGAGGGATGGCTTGTCTGCACAGGTTCTGAGAACACTGAGGGACGAAGATCTTGGAAAGGCAGAGGAAGGAGAACAGGGAGGTCTGTTGCAATATCCAGAGGAGGAGTGGTGGCCAGCTGTGGGCCTTGGTGCTGGCTGTGGCTGTGAGGAGCGGAGGTAGCCTGAGGGTCAGCCTGTCCTCACTGGCAGTGAGCACTCTTGGGAGCAACTGCCCTCACCCCTGGAGCATGGCTGGGATGGGGCCAGTGGTGGAAACACTGAGCTAAATCCCCAGCCTGGCATTTCTACTCTTGGTATTCAGTGACCTGAAGTGGTTATAGTGAGGTCAGAAAAGTTTTTGCTATGGATTCGGTTTGGGAAGCCATGTGAACTGAGGAGCAGGACTGCGGAGCTGCTTCCCTTCTCACTCCTGTCTAGGGTGGGGGTTGTGCGGGACCCTGCCATGGTGCAGGAACAAGTGTGCAGAGCCCTGAGGACTTCAGGTAGAGGATTGTGGTTTCTTTCTGATAATCCAAATTGTTACTGCCTTTTGTCCCTCCAGTGGGCAGTAGGAAGTGGAATTGTCCACTGAGGTCTAAAGTCCTTTATGAAGGTCCCTTCTCCTTCCAGGAGGGAGCCATGGACCTGCTGCGGGAGCTGAAGGCCATGCCTATCACGCTGCACCTGCTCCAGGTAGGCCCTGCCTGCCCCAAATTGGGACAGCTACGGGGACAGCAGCACCAAGGGCATCTGGCACAGCTTCTGTGGTTCTCCCCACTAAGGCCTTGATTGTCACAAACACCTGTTATTAGGAGAGGGTTCTTGCCTTCCTCTGGTACTTGATGAGTCTGGGAGGGGATGCCTGAGATGTCACCCTTTCCTGGGTTCCACATGGGACAGTTGTTAACCTCTCCTGGGCCGGTCCCTAGCCCCTGCCCTGTGGGTCTGGCCCTGGGGTGCCACCCCCACTGCCTCCCAACCCAGGCTGCTTGCCTTGCAGTCCACCCGTGTTGGGATGTCTGTCAACTCCCTGCGGAAGCAGAGCTCGGACGAGGAGGTCATTGCACTGGCCAAGTCTCTCATCAAGTCCTGGAAGAAGCTCCTGGGTGCGGGTCAGGCCTTGAGGGCCAAGTGCTGGGGCAGCGGACACCCAAGAAGTGTGGGGTCTTTGTTGCTTGGCACAGGATATGGTGCTGGTCATACTACCCAGAACCTGGGCTCCTGGGAGTGGGTCCAGATGAATTTGGGGCAGGAGGTGCTCATCTTGGTGCTAGAAGTGGATGGGTAGGTGCCCATCAGTAGCAGTTGGAAGAGGTGGCTAGGGAAGGCCTGATTTTTGGGGCAAGGAGGTATGCAGGAGAAAGTGTTCCATGTAGAACAGGGAGAAAGAGTTGAGGCCAGGTGTTGGGCTGCAGCATCAAGGGCATCAGAAGCTCTAGAAGGAAGGGGCCAAATGGCAGTTCTTACAGAGGAGAATGGCAAGGCTAGGATGTGCAGGAAATGCATGCAGATAGGAGAGACAGAGAGAGAGAGAGAGAGAGAGAGAGAGAGAGAGAGAGAGAGAGAGAGAGAGAGGGAGAGCGCTAGGGCCACCACACAGAGAAGGGCTGGGAAGACAGTGGCCCCTTCCTGGGGAACAGAATAGCTGAGTTGCAGAGGAGGCAGCTCTACATCTGGACTCTGGAAGTGTCCCAGCCTCTCCTGGGCTTTGTCCATACCCTTGGGGCCAGCCACTGGTGTGACCATTGGCATGTGAGTGGCACAAGCATATCTTGGTTCCTTGTGAAGGCCTGGGCAGGCTCTATCCAAGTTTGGGCTTGGGAGAAGCCTTGTGGGGCACATGCTTCGTCTTTCTGGTTGAGGATGGGGGCAGGAGAGTGGCCTCCAGGATGGCTTGCTTGGGTGGGGTGTGTGAGGGTCAGGGTCTAGGGAGGCTGATGGGCTTGGTGAGGGGAGAGAGACCTGTTGGCAGGAGGACCTGGTACCTTGCACTTTTGGCTGGGCTGGGAGCAGGGGCAGTGGGGATGGTGGTCTAGCCGAGGCTGGGACCTACTCCTGTTCACCTGTCCCTGACCAATCTGTCCCCTTCTTTTCTGACAATGACAGATGTTTCTGATGCTAAAACCAGGGATCGAGGGAGGGACACATCTCTACCCACATCGTCCACAAAGAATGCCTCAGAGGTCATGGACCCCAGGTAGCACACCTGAAGGAGGGGCACACTTTCCTGTCTGCTGGCCTCCATTTCCTCAACTGAGCCATATGCCTGGATGCTTCTCTGAGGGAGGGTCTTTCTCTGGACGGCCATGTCCTAGGTTGGATCATAGCTGAGATCCCTTGCCCCAACCATCTGAGATAGGTGGCCATGTCTTCTGTGCTGTCAGGGAGACCCCTGCCATCTTCCTCAGCAGAGAGCTGCTGCAGGCTCTGAGCTGGCCTAAGGAAAACCTCTGCCTACTTCTCCTGTGACCCTCCCGAGTGGTTTTCATTGGCCTGTTCTGCTGGACTCCCTCAGCCTGGTGTCACTCAAGGACGGGACCCTTCCCACAAAGTTCAGCCGGGAACCAAAGGTGGCTGCCTGGCTCCCCTTTCCACCTTTGCATATGCATGTGACCACCACTGCCTCAGGAGCAGTGTTCAGGGTCCTGTTGCTGGGTGGTACAGGGTGTTCCCAGCGATATGCTGTAGTGGAGAGCCGCTTTGCTTCTGACCAGACTGGGTAACAGTGGCTGGGCCCAGGCCAGAACAGGGTGAGCTCAGGACCACTGGTATGAATTTGCATTGGGAGTTCATCTGTATACTGCATGGTTGATTGTGCTCCAGGAAGTCGCCTGCTTCTGCTAATGTCTATACAGCCATGAGGGAACCCACCCTATTCATTTGGGGAATAAGTCCCCACCCATCAGGGACCCCATGATCCACTTTCCCCCTCTGATTAGCTGGGCAGATCTCATGGGCACACTGGGCTTGAATGAAGCTGATCTCAGCCATGCTGGGATCTGTAGGTAGAGCAAATGGGCTGTGGGGGTAGGAAAGGTGTTCTGACACTTGTTTTTCTTGGGGGCTGGCATCTTACTGAGGTGCCTGTGGCCTTGCATCTGAGCCGCATGCACTGTCTCTCTTCAGCCGGAAGAGGCTGGACCTGCCCAGGATGTCATCCACTCCAAGGATCACCACATTCCCTCCGGTGCCCGTTACTTGTGACGCTGTACGCAACAAGTGCCGTGAGATGCTAACCACCGCCCTGCAAACAGACCGTGAGTGCTCAATAGCCCTGGCCCCTGACCTGCCCTGCTGTACAGCACAGCCTGGGCAGCTGCCACTACACAGGCCTCCTCCCCTGCCTGCTGTCCTACCCCTAGGCATAGGCAGGGGCTCCTTAGGGTTGCCAAGCACCTGGATCCTGGGTAATACCTCCCAGGGATGTGAGTGTCCCCTCTAGCCACCAGTGTGCTGTGCAGGCAGAGAAGCCAGTTGGATGGCTAGCGAGGGCTCCCTCTTGCAGATGACCATGTGGCAGTCAGTGCAGACTGTGAGCGTCTATCGGCTCAGATCGAGGAGTATATCCTTTGTGCAGACCTTGTGGGGCCAAGGCTTCAGGTGGAGTCTGTAGGCCACTGGACCTGGCTCCCTCTGGTGGCTGCTGGACACCACTGCCGAGCTGCCAGTACCCTCTCTGGGCTATATCCTGCCTTTTCCTGGGGTGTTTGTGTGTGTGTGTTTGGTGGGGGGCGTCTTGCCCCAGCAGGGTCCTCCCTGGATGGGCCAAGTGGTGGTTCTGCTTGCTGATGAGGCCTATGCCTCAGCCAGGAGTGGGTGTAGGGAAGTGAGGTGCTGTAGCCTCCAGCTCTGCACCAGGCCCAGGTCTGGGGACTGACCTTGGTAGGGCTGAGCGGAACGTCCCCCACATGGCCCCCTGAAAGGTTGGTACAGTTCATTGGCTTCAGATGGGTCCTTAAACACCTGCACGCATCTTCCTGGATGTGGGAAACACAGACATGAAGTACAAGAATCGTGTGAGGAGCCGTATCTCCAACCTGAAAGATGCCAAGAACCCAGTGCTTCGGAGGAATGTGCTATGTGGTGCCATAACACCCCAGCAGATTGCGGTGATGACATCGGAGGTGAGCCCCCACAGGAGAGACTGGGGGCTGCTTCTGCAGAGCTGCAGGCTAAGTACTTGGCCCCTCACCGCAGGAGATGGCGAGTGATGAGCTGAAGGAGATCCGTAAGGCCATGACCAAGGAGGCCATCCGGGAGCACCAGATGGCCCGCACGGGTGGCACACAGACTGACTTGTTCACCTGTGGCAAGTGCAGAAAGAAGAACTGCACCTACACGCAGGCAAGTGGTCTTTTGTCCATGTTGCACTCTTCTTGGAGCCCATCCTGTCCCCACCTCTGTCTGGCCAGGGGCCACCCTTACACCTGCAAAATAGTGCCAGAGCAGGGATCCAGTGTTGGTTCCAGTCTTCAGGAATCGCCACTTTCATTTAGGACCCCTAACCTATCAGCAGCACCTCAGGTGGTAGATCCCATGTGTTCTGGAGTGCTGAAGCTGGGGTCCTGATCCTGCCCAGCAGATGAGGTGTCATTACAGGCAGGAGGGTGGTGTATGCTGCCTGACAACAGCCACAGGACACCGACCCTGCTGTGGAACTGGATATTGAGATGCTTGGGGAGATTGTGTGGACCCCGAGATGCTGGGGGCTTGGGAAGAGTGGAAGGGAGGCTGTGGCTAGTGGAGCTTCTTGAGAGAGGTGCTGGAAACTGCCGTCTCCCTCTTTGGGCTGTAGGGGAGCCCTGTGTGTACAGTGCTGGGTTGGTGCCACTGCCAGGACTGGCCCTGGTCCTTCTGGAAAGGAGGCACAGCCACTGGAATCCCTGTAGTCCTCCCTCCATGGGCCTCAACTGTTGGGGTCCTTTCTACCTTTACCTCCAGCCTGGGCTCTGCGTAGGCCCTTTATGCCAACATGAGGGTCTATGTGGTTGTGGCCTACCTACCCTGTAGGGCCAACAGTGGAATGCTGGGGTCACTGGGCAGCCTGAGATCAGGTCATGCACTGGGGCTCAGGGGCTAATAAGCCCCACACTGCTGCAGAGAGCTTACCCCTCTGCAGCAGAGCCTGGTGTGACTGCAGGGTGCCACCCCCCCCATAGGTGCAGACTCGTAGCTCTGATGAGCCCATGACCACCTTTGTTGTCTGCAATGAGTGTGGAAACCGCTGGAAGGTAAGTGGGTGGGCCCACACTGACCCCTCTAGCCCATTCTCTCGAGATTGGTGTCTTAGCTCAAGGGGAGCCTATGGTGTGGACCAAGGCTAGCCATGCTCAGCTAGCCTACTGGGAGTCTGGATAGAGAATGGGAGCCCACTACCTGGGTGACTGTCCTGCCTCTGCCCTGGGGGTCAAGTAGGGCCGTAGCTGGATGCCCCTCCCTGCCTTCATGCAGTTCTGCTGAGCCCTCATGCAGATATGCTGCAGCCCCAGGCCATGGCCTCCCGCATTCCTGGTGGACACAAGCTTCTCTGGAGACCCCTCAGAAGGTGGCACACCTGCTTCAGCTTGCCTCCTTGGCATGCACTGTTCTGCCTTTTGCCCCATTATTAAATGTTTTGTTTCAACATCTTGCCATCCTTGGACCTTACTCCTGGTGGGCTAACATAGGTAGGCCCCATCCTCTGTCTGGTCCATCTTCTGTACTGTGAACACCCCTCCTCCTTGGGTTCAGGCAATGCTTGGCTTAGCCCTGGAGGGACAGCGCTGGAGGCAAGCACTGGGCCAGCAGAGATCACCTGTGCTGATTCTAGGATGCTGGGATATGAGTGTCTCAAGTGAGACCTTTGGTACCTACTAGGGACCCCTGTCCAAGGCAACACTTTTGTTGGTTGTTGCTTTGAGACGATCTCACTATGTAGTTCAAGTTGGCTTTTATAGTCCAGGCTGGCCTCAAATTTGTAGTGATCCTACCTCAGCCGCCAGAGTACTGGGATTATAGACATGTGATACCATGAATGGCTCTGTGGCAACACTTCTGGTCGCATCTCAAACATTCACGAGGGCTGGCCCCACCTCAGGGCTCAGAAGGCTTAGGCCAGGAGACAGCTCATGGGGCAGGTGGAGCAGTTACCCACTGGGGCCATTGCTGTGCAGGAATTGGGTAGAGCCCAGGGTAGGGGCAGAGTCTGCAATGATTCCTCTTCTCTAATCAACCCAAAAATGGGAATAAACAGAGAGGCTCCCATTTTGAAAACATCTTCAAGGATAAGATCCTGTTTTTAGGGGGCAGAGAAATGGAAAAAGTATTTTTTCTTTTTTTTCTCTTTTTTCTGATAAAACATACAGCAAGGATATGTTTCCAGGTTTAAAGTTCATGAACATGTAAAATATAATCAGGTCCTGTCACTTAAGCCTGGTTCTGAGGTTCCACATCTGGTTCTGAGGTTCTAGGTCTGGTTCTGGGGTGCAGACAGCTCAAGTAGAAGTGTGTCCTGCTACAAAGCAGATGGTGTACAGGCTCTGTTCTCCCCCAGAGGCATGTCCTGGGTGCATGGCTGCCTGGAGAAGGCCTTATCAGGCTGTGGGCCCAAGGTACATCCTGGGGCTGTCGGGAGTGCTAGGCTTACAGCTTCAGGCCCTGTGGCTGGAGCTCCTGTTGGACCAGGGAAGATGGAGCCAGGGGGTGTGGCACTTCACACTGGGACTGGGTCTGCTTCCAGGGTTTGGGACCCTCATCCAGCCAGGTGGAGCCATGGCCGTGAGCCTGGACTCTGCCAATAAGCAAGTGGAGTATCTGTGCCATGGCAGTGGGCTAGGCCTCAGAGGAGGGCTGTGGGGGCTCTGGGAGCAGCAGAGCACGGTAGGTGGGGGAGCTGAGGAAGCGAGGGTAGGAGTCCCGGTGCATAAGAGTGTAGATTTGCATCTGTGCATCATCAAACGTGTGTGCAGATGGCTCCTGCATCTTCCTGTTGATGCCCTCCCGTACTCGGGAGTCCAGGCTCACCTGTGGGACAGGGCACTGAGGTCAGAGGATGCCTGCCCAAGACAGCCCCACCCATCCCAGCAGCCAGCGCACCTCTTTGGGCGAGAGGATGGACACATAGTCCTCATAGATGAGTCGTGCCTTCTCATCTACCACATGCTGGTTGGCTTCTGCCTTCAGCTCCTCACAGGCTAGCCAGAAAAGCATATTCTCCTCACTGTACTCTGTGCGCAGGAATGCCCGGAACACGCTTCGGCCCGCGGGGCTGTGCATCAGCTTGTCAAAGGACTGCGCCCAGCTCTGCACCTCCTCAGGGCTTGGTGGGGCACTGCTGGTATTGGGACAGGGTGTCATATCTGGCTCTACCCCACCCCGCAACACGTGTGCACGCTGAGGCCAGACTCACCAGGCTTCGCAGCTGGAGAGGGGCTGCAGCTTGCTCTCACGGGACGCCCTCCATGCTCGTTGCCGCTCTTGATTCCTGGCAGCAGATGAAGGTGTGGATGTCCTGGGCACCACCAGGCCCAGACATGGGACTTGACACATAGGCAAGCATGACACATGGGAGTCTGCTACAGGGAGTGAAGCCCCTGCAGTTGGCCCTTTTTGCACCTCCTTGTCCTGACCTTAGTGCCAGGCCAGCCTTGGCCCTTTTCCTCCTGGTCAGCAGTTTGACCATCTATGTTTCTGGGACTCTGCGGGGTCCTGGTGTCTCTTCCTTTCCCTGGTCTACTGTATATGACCCTGTTCCTCAGCCTGTCCTTGGTTTATCCCTTTCTTTTTTTTTTTTTTTTTACCGGGAATGGAAGGTTCATCGCTTTCTTAAAGAGGCCATCAGCAGACCCATAGTGTAGGGCCAATGCCAGCAATATGACTTGCTGGCTGATGTAGGGTGGCAGCCCCCTCCCTGGGTTTGCACCTGTCTGGTCTTGAAGCCTGACCCCTGGACCCTAGTCCATGTCCACCTGACCAATCCATCACTTGACAAAAGTCTAAACAAACTCAGACCTTGTTCCTTCTCAGTAGCAACACAGCCCTTGCTCCACATCCTGCTGCCTCCCATCCCTGTATCTTGCCTGGACTCAGGACTCACCTGCTTACTGTTTAGCAGACACCATGGGGTTCCCAAGCCTGGGTAGGGCCAGGCCTCTCTTTAAGGCCTGGCCAGCTTCATCCTCCTAGGAAATCCTAGAAGTCCCACTCCTGCCTCACACAGATGCTCAAAGACATCAGCACCTTTGTGCCTCAGGGCCTTCTGCTCCCTCCTTTGGGTCTGTTCCAATTGCACCCCACTGTAGTCTGGACTAGCTTGTTCACTATAGTTCTCCAGCAGTTGCTGGACAGGATGGTGCTGAGCTGGCAGAGGCAGCCTGCCCATAGGTGATGTCTTGGAGGCCACTAGAAGGCCTGGGGAGCAGGGCCCTGCGTCTGCCCCCCTCCCTGAGCAAATTGTGTCCCCAGGCTCACATACCAAGAGCAGCTGCAACAGCAGCACCAGCACAAGCAGCAGGGGTTGCGGCTGGGGGCCACCCGGGGGGCTGTGTCATGGCTGGACATTGAGGGGGGCCTGTCCGCCTCTTCTGGCCCTGTGTGCTGGGGAAGATGGGGCTGCCTCAGCCTCCCGACCAGAATCCACTGGACACAAAGCTGCTGCACCCCCACGGGCACACTCCTTCCCCCCAGGTATCTGGGATCTCTCAGCAACTCTCCCAGCTTGCCCACCCCACCACCCAGGGAGAGGGCAGGAGGAAGTAGCATACCTGCTTCTCAGACTCATTTGGGGTGGGCATGGGTGGGTGCAGGGGGCTTCCCAGGCTCTGTGGTGCCAGCTCCAGGACCCTCACCACAGCTTGGAGGTCTGGGGAGAGGAGCCGAGGTTCTGACTGAGCATCTGTGACCCCCACCCTGCCTGCCTCTGGGAGGCGTCCTAAGAGGACCTGCCTCTACCTCCCAGCTTGAGCCTGGCTAATGGGCTCTCTGCCGCCAACCCTGGCTGTGTGGGGCATGGTTGGGGGGTAGTGGTCATTACAGAGTGTGCTGTGTTAGCTTCTGGCCCCTCTTTTCAGGCTGGGCCCCAAATGAGGCCCCTAAAGGACACCCCCATCTGCTCAGTGCCAGGGAAGCCGGAAGTCTGGGTTCCTCTTTCTTGGTTTTCAGTGCTCAGCCCCTCCTAAGCTAGTGGCTGGGGGTTCAAACATTAAGACCTCTATGGGTCCAGTCTGGGGTAGGTTGAGTTGCTCCCCATGAGGAGCCCAGAGGACTCTCACCTACTACCCTCCCCGCACTTGGCAGGAATGGTAGGCTAGGCCAACAGCAAGGACTTGATCTGGGAGAGGACTTCCTCCTTGCAGGGAGAGGGGTGTGCACTGGAGAGGGATCTGTGCTGGGGAACAAAGTTTTTGTGTTCCTTGGCTGCTCTTACACCTCTCATGCCTACCCTAGCTTCTCTCTCTCCCTGCTCAAGGCCTTCAGGCTGGTGAAACCCTGAGGCCTGCTAGCTAAGGAAAGGGGCAGCATGGTGGGCTCAGAAGGATGGGGCAAGTGGTTCATCCTTCCCAAACAGTTTGGGCCATACCTTCACAGCAGGGTTCTCAGGGAGCAAAAAAACGTCAACCTGCAAAGCCCACAAATCCCAAGGGCATTGGACAAAAACAAACAAAACAAAAAGCCGGGTGTGGTGGCTGAGGCCTGTAACTCCAGCACTGGAGGCTAAGGCAGGAGCCAACCTGAGCTTCATTGAGTTACAGGCCAACTACATCGCAAGACCCTGTCTCAAAAACAAAAGCAACCAAACAAAAACAAAACCACGGGTGGGTGTTGGAGCAAGGTGGCCAGTCAGTGCCTGGAGGCAGTTTTGAATGTCCCCCCAACCTGTGCCACCTCTGTCCAGGTGAAGCCCTCTCTGAAGTCCTCCATTTTTGCCTCTCAGCAGCAGAGGGCTTGATCTTCCTGCTGCCCCTCCCCCAGCTCATGGCCTTCTAATCCTGTTTCCACCCTTCCTGGAGAACTGACTGGTGGTAAGAAGGGATGATGCTGAGATCTGCATACGTGCGGAACCTATTGGGGGCCTCAGCCCTTCACCACCTGCCCAGCTTCCTCTAAGATCCTGGGTTCCAGGCAAGCAGCTGGGGACACACAAGTAACTGCAGCTGGGTCTCCTTCTGGGGGTCAAATTTCTAGGGAAGGGAAGGGGTGTGGCAGCCTGAGGTCTGGTGGAGCATCCAGAGCCTGTTCTTCCTCCTCCATACCCCCCCCCCCACTGTCCTTTAGAGCCTCCATCTCCAACCCATTCTGCACCAGAGACAGAGATGGTGTGGTCTTCTGTGAGGTGCGGGGCCCTGGTGTTGGGGGCCTTCCTTCCAGCTGTAGGCCCTGGACCTGGGTCACTGCACCTTCTCAGGGGAGTGGGGCCACGCGTGTCCTCCTTTCGGAGGGGGAACGCACAGGGTCTGAACCACTTATTGGGGGGCTCCTCTCACTCCCCAGCCCTGCACGGTCCTCAGGCTGGGAGAGGCCAGACAGAGCAAGTCTGATCTCTGGGGACAGAGGCTCCCTGGAGAGTGGCTGCTGTTCTGCTCCACAGAAGGAAAAAGAACGTCCTGGAGTCTGCCCAGTCCAAAAAAAGAATTTAAAAATGTGACAATCCCAGAGAAAAATGTCATAACCTTTGGGAGGGGCATTGACAGAGGAGCTCTATTCCCATTGCTGTCCTAGCCATACCTTCCCTACCGCACCCCCAGTGGGTCCCTTCCTAGTCTAGAGGAGTCTGTTTCATCTGCAGGATCCCTTTCCCCAGCGTCTCACGCTCCCACCCCTCCCTTAGGTAACTCGCCACAGCGCCCCACTCACCAGCGACCCAAAGGCGGGGCGGGGGCGGGAGGGCCGGGTTCGGTCTGGGCCCCACCCTGGCTGGCCAAGGGGCATGCTCTGCAGCAGCGGGGACTCCAGATCAGACGGCAGGAGGTACTCACTCCTGCGGCGCTCTGGAGGGAGGTTGGGGTCGGGGATGCAGCGCCTCCCCAGGCCCAGCGGCTGCTATACCACACGGGGTGGGGCAGGGGCAGACGAGGTGTCCCGTCTGGCCCCTCCCCGCTAGCCTCTAGGGGTAGGAGACGCGGAAACCTGGGTTCTTCCGGCCCCCACCTTTGGGCAATCACTTCCCCAGGCTCTGAGCTGCAGAAAAAGGGGAACCCTGATGCGCGTCCCCTCCCCCACGCCTGAGGGGCGGGCTCGGTCCCACCAAGGCCCAGGTCCACGTGGGCCCGCGGCTGCAGTCCCAGGAGTGGATCCCCGCGCTAGCTA